CTATCAGGTATATTAAGTGGAAGTAAATTCTAAGCTTTTATTTAAGTCTAAAAACGCATTATTAAATATTATTGAATAGGTAATAACCTTTCTTATTAAATACAAAAATCGTAACATTATAATTTAAATTATTCACTTTTACTGTGTTATATATAAGTACTTGGAGTTTGGACTATTATAAATGTGTAAACATAAACTGTTCAAAAATAAAAATAAATTTGATATCGATGTATATACACTACGAATAAAGTTTTATAAATTTCATATCTTGCCAAACGTGTAGTTATGTTAAAATAGTAATACATAATAATATTATGTTGGCTAAAATTAAATATTTGGTAAATTGGTAAGCCGGTATACTTTGTATTTTCCCGGGCCGGAATCTCTCCCCAATCCGCCCCTGCATAAGGGAATAAGCTTATGACACTTATTCAGATGGTAGAGTACATTGTAGTATTTATTTATTTATTTATTTATTTAAGTAAATATCAACGCCTCAAGAGCATAAGTACAATACAGATTTAGATAATGTGTTATATAGGTAATATTACGCGATTCTGTAGTCGCCGTCGTGTCGACTGGGCAAAAATCCTCTTTGAAGCATTATAAAATTAAGTTCGTACTTGTTTATGTGTAGAAAAAATAATGAGAACAAATCATCAAAAAACGAATATAATTATCATAGTCTGAATTTTATTTTAGATCCGGAAAATCGAGTTTGTTCGTATAATAACGAGAAAAATATTTTCGGACACGCTTTTTACAGTGTCGTTGCGACGTAATAAAATCACAAACAGGCTGTTAATAAAAAAGAACCTAAAGCTTTTATGGTAATGTGACTAACAAACCGTAGCGAGGCCATGTCATGGGATACCGTTGAAATGTTGTGCTTCAATTAGATTACGGTTTTACTCATAATATTATAGCTGCGGGGACACGGAATGTGACTTTGTAATTAAAAAATTATAAACGTTTGATACTTATCCACTTGTTTAACTAAATTTTACGCCGTCCCGGTCGGCCGTCGTAAGTAAATAATATTTAACGAATAAAACTAAAAATGTCATTCTCAAATAATGTATAGTGTAAACGAATAATTGACCTTTAGAGTCTAAGAACTTTATATTATTATTATACAACAGGTACATATAATGATTATGATTGTATTATTTAACTGAACACTCATATTCTCGGAAAGTATAAACTTGTTTTGGAAGATTTTTTTTACATGATTTGTAAGTCATTAAAACGTGAAATTTTTTATTTTTCCGAATGAGACAGGCGATGCAGCACAATATTTTGCATTTTTAATTTAATGTTCTGAGGCAAAATATTTTTCTGAGAATTTCTGTTATTATAGATCGAATTCGAACTAAATAATATTTAATTAGTTATAACTTATAAATATAATTCATTATTCAAGCTTGTGCAACTGTGCAACTGAAGCGTGTGATGGATTTTGCGGTATATCTTTGTGCCACTCCAATCCTCTCATCTACATTTTGAACACATATAACTAATAAACTACTCGTAAAGTTAGTAAAATATATTTTAATTAGATAATATCAACTGTCATTCTATTTCGTGTAATAAAATTCTTGGAAAAATATTCTTCCCGTCTTGTTTTTAATTATTTCCTCGACCGTGGTAATACGTCATATTATTATATCGACAGTGGGAAGTGATTCAACCCACACCACCGATCAAATATAGATATTTTAACATGATCTAAATATTAAGCGGACAAATCCGGACAGTCCGGACTTGTTACTTTTGTCAAAAACAATTTATTGAATTTTGGACGTGTAATGTTTTAGATAATATTGAATTTGTTTATCTATTTATAAAAAAATAATATGTCCGGACGTATTATTTTAAATAATAAAAATTTTTAATTTTAAATTACACTAAATAATATGATATCTTCACTTAGCATAAAATATCATTAAACACTGGTTTTATTTGACTAAAAATTTGATGAAAAATGCTACTTTATTATTTTTCACATTCAATAAAAAATTCCAATATATTTTATATTTTTTACTTTTTTACTGCAATTTTATAATCAAATTGAATTTTTATATTAAAAAAATAAGTCTTACGTACATTTTAACTATTTATGTAATAAATTAATTAGAGTTTATATTAAATTAACAACTTTTAATATGTCCATCAAAACCTTATATGTCCACGGTAAAAATATATTATAATTGCCATTCATAACAAGTCCCATTTAAATTTAAAAGAAACATTATAATTACGTTTGAAAAAATTTTAAAACCTAAAAGTAATAATTTATGTAATCTGCAGAATATTTTACAAATAAATCAGTTGCAACACCGAAAAACAAAAATCTACAACGCAAATTATTTGGTGTAGAATAATTTAAAATCTTAAAACTGCTCTCCCGAAAAATTTAGTGTTTGGGACATACAACTTTTGGCCTCTTAGCCATCGAAATATAAGATATCAAAAATACACATTTTTCCCAAGTAACGAACCAATTTTCAAAATTTACCAATTTTATTTTCAATTTTATTCGCTTCTGATGATATGCATTGACGTTGGTCACATCACTCTCAACCTACATTGCTAGGTTTTTCTCGAGACATCGCATAATTAAGTATACATTTCATGGGTCTGCAGTGTCACGTGATTTTTGACTTGACAAAACACTGTACTAATTCTCGTATACGAAGCCTAATAACTAATAAGGAACCTTCACGCGTCATTTGAAGTTTCCAGGTCTCGGGGTCGAAGAAAGACGATGACGAGTCAACCCACGCTAAGTGGGTCTTGCCTTTTAATTTATTTGATTATACCATCGTTGTAATTATACATACGAGATTACGGTTAAGATGACGCCACTTTACTGCTTTCTAAGAGGGTTTATATAGATAATTTCTTCAAAATAATTAGAACAATAAATTAATGTCAAGTAACTAGAAAATATATTTGAATATATTTTTAAAATAATTTTCATGTATACAAGGTAATTCGTTAAGCATGCTCGCTCCAATTATTTGTTTTATTTATAATGAATTTATTCAAATTATAAATTTTAGAATCCTTAAGTATATTCAAAGACGATATTTTTCAATTATAATATAGTTTTTTCATACTATCTGAGGAGTGGCCTGTGGCTATACAAACTCCTGTTTTGAAAATAAGAAATAATATCTTTTTACTTTAGACAGACGATATTTTTTATAAAAATCTTTATGTAGGTATCTAATTAATAATTCTGACTAATAATTTTTTAGTTATTATAATATACCTTCTAAGGATAGTAGTCCTTAATAATGGTTTTATAAAACTATAAAATAGATGTGATATTTACCCTAGCAAAAATTATTAAACTAGAATAATTTTCAAGACATAACATTTTGGTAGACTGGACATATCTATCTTAATGTACAAAGTTAGATAACTCAAAAATTACTCGTTCAAATTTTGATTTATATATACTTACACTTACATTTAAAAAAATCATTCTACTTCACAATTTACAGGAATAAAATGGGATTGTCATATTAAAAAAATAAGTTGGTATCGTCATAGAACACTCCTTAATTGGTATGACAACTCTAAATAATTGAAAATATATTATATATATGATAATAATATGATCCTTAAGTAGGAAGTATTAGGTACATGAAAGTTCCAAAAATCATAATTTTAAAAGATTCATTAAAAAAAAAATTATTACGTGTGTTTGGTGAATCACCTTTTATAATAACCCAAGTTCCATTATTGATTTTTAAAAAAACCATGACTGAAATTATAAAAATAATTGATTGAAAATGTCCAGTGTCATTTTTTTTACTGCCTAATATTGTTACGTCATGTTATCGTCGTCATTAAGAAAATAAAATACATATAGAACTTAAAACTAATGGCATTTGAACATTTTAAGACACTAAAAAATGTTCTCCGCTCTGCTGACTGTATCGTGGACGTTAAACTTGTCATCTATCTCGTTTCAAAACTTGATGTCTTGAGTATGTCCGTGACCTTTTGGTTTCTGTCCCTCGTGAAACGAACTGAAAATAACGATATAACAGTGTGTGTGGCGTTTTATTAATTATAAGATGAGAGGAAAGTGTGACGCTACTCTAAAAGCTCATCGTTAAGTTATTATTGTACACAATTCCGATGAAAAAAATATAATAATAATAAACCGTAGAATGCAATAACAAAGAAATCGATGCAGTATTTGTACGTACTGCGTAATATTATATAGGTACTGACAGTATTTTCATTCAAATAAATTGTCTGTTATGAGATTATTTATTTGTTGTTGTTTCTTTTAAAAAGTCTCGAGCCAGAGATGCGTAGATCAACAAATATTTAAATATTATATTCGTGAGATGGCGACGGAATTGGACGTTAATCTTTTCCTTGTTATTGTATAATTCTTGCTAGGATATTATTATTTTATATTAAAAATGTGTTCTGGTTGAGCCACGAAAAGAGGAATTTCGAGGGTTTTATATTTCAGAAATATCAATAATATAGTCTATACACATACAAATATTCAATGCATTATATATTTTTAAAAAAATCGACATTGATTCTCGTTTTGGTATTTATTCACCTCGGTCTCCTCTGCTAGCTAGGAGATTTTGCGTGAAATTGTTATTTCGACAGTTAATTTTTTCTGAATTTAGGGGGTTTTGTTTTATACTTCAATACTTGTACCTATGACCCATTATACTAAATCTAATGACGATGTTGGTTAATTGCTCTCAGGTATTACAGTAAAACCTCAATAAGACCGAATCGCATGGGACCATGACATTTTTCCGTGTTAACGGTGTTTCCGTCTTCACAGGGTTCAAAAAATGTAATTGAATTTAATTAAAGATTACATATTTATTTTAAGCCAGTTGATACATAATACATACAATTTATATTTTTAACTTAATTTTATATTTATACTTATTTATTTATATTTATTTTTAGCCAGTACCTATACATTAATAATATATTATACATAATTATATTTTTTGAAAAAAATCGGTTATTGATTTTTGCTTTTTATTTTGTAAGGCGTGTCGTTCCACATACTCCTTGGCTCTCAAAGTCAAATCCAAAAGCTCAATATTGGACACTGGGAGGGAAAATTTGTGTAGTTCCTCGAGGTAGCAGATATCAGTTTTGAAATCTTTTACCATATTTTCTGGTTCTTCATATTGGTTTTCGTCGTTGTCTTCATGCTTTTCACCTTCATTATCAACCATGGATATAGCCGAATCATGGGTTTGCTGAGTCTCAAGTTGGTCATCAATGTGAAAAAATTCTTCTTGGTCAAAACCAAGTATATTCAAAAACTTTTAAGTAGGTATAGTTCAGTAGGTAGGTACGATGAAAAGTTTGATTTGTCCTCAAGTATAGTATAGTACTTAATAAAAAATACTGATATTTCGCTTTAAGTTTCAAAAAAATATGTAACACCAAAGTTATTGCTCACTAACTGAAATTGAATAGACATCAGAAAACGACTACGGATCATGCAGGTAATAAGTATATTATTGTCTAAAAATTATAAGCTTGAAAAATTCAGTTTTTTCTGAATTTAAATAAATGATTTTTGCTCGTTTGAATATTATATGAACTTTAAAACGAACACATTTTTAATGATCAAAGTACATACTGTTACATAATTATGTCGTAACGTTATACTAAATTAAAGCTTTTAGCGATTCTATTTTTTATTCTATTAAATAACTTTTTTACCTTGTATAGCCAAGCACATTATTACATTTTAATACTCAAAATTTAAAAGTTTTGAGTGGAAAACTCTATTTCCGTACAATATAATATAATTGTACTATCCCACTGTCAAGTGTGATTATTATTTATTGTAATCAAACAGTGAATTAAAACTTTTCGTTAAGACTTCTAAACGTTTCTATTATTTTTCATAATTTTGAATTATTAAAATATTATACGCAATAATATAATACTCTAGTTTATATAAGCATAATAAATACTACACACTGACTGTCATTTATACGACACATCAATAAAGTCCCAGACATACGAGGTAGGAAACTATATTTTATAAATATTTTTAAAACGCTTTGAATTTAATATCCCTATTTTATTTACAATCGTATACATTGTATACTATACAACAAATACAATGAATTATTTTTTTAATTTTCAACGCAGTACAAAATTCAATAAATATTCATACAACTAAAAACTAAAAAAAGTAAATTTAAATACATTTTTATTCAACTTATATTAATTTTTTCTATGGTTAAAAAACTGAAAATGTATGTATAAAGTCCGTTCAAAAAATTGTCTTCCATATTTAATATAGATAGTAATGACATATTTTCATCAACTAAAACAGACATTAGATAATTGTTTCATAATTTTTAATAAGAATATGATCGTTCTTCACTTATTCAAAAGTACATACTTTTTATAATAATTGTATTGAAATAAAAGTTAACCTTATTATTTATAACTTTAAATACGCAAGAAAATTGATAAATATAATTTTTTGAAAATTATCTGAAATGCATTCAAAATGTCCTAAAAATAGTAAACATAAAAGTTTTATTTTAAATTTTATATTATTATACTAATTTTTCAAATTGAGTGTTCTCATCAAATCATTATTTTTATTTGTAATAGGCTAAAAAAATAATTTCCCCATCAAATATTAAGATCTCATAGGTACATAAATGTATTAATACTATATAAATATAGTGGGATAATAAGTCCGTAAAATGTAATTATTGTTACTACCTACTAATAAATTATAAAAACAAACAGCACTGTTGAAATTATGTTAAACAATTTCAAAATATAATGTTTAACAAAAATAATATTGATTGCCTATTATAAAATAATCATTGTATTAATGAATAAAATATATACACAATAATGCATATTGTAAAATGCATTAGTAAAATTTGAAAAATTTGAATTAAATCTATAGATAGGTAAAATTTGTTCATGACCATTCACAGTTTTCGTCAATGGTAAATAATCAAATACGTATTTTAATATTTTGTATTAAATGTTTAAAAATATATTTTTGATAATATGCATTTATGTAAAAATTATTTAATACAAACCCTTCGCTGTGATTGAATCACAAATTAAAACCACAAAAAAACAAAACTGTGATGTATTGAGTTATTCTTAAAGTAAAGATATAGATTATATTATTGGTATTAATATTTTTAATAAGATAATATTTTATTAATATTGTATTAATTTAATAATGTAGTTTCTTAATTCGTAATAAACTACAAAGAATGTATATTCATAATACATTTTTTCTGAAAATCAACCGCCCCTCAAATCACATTAAAATTACCGCCCTGGAGTAATTGCCTCACCCCCTTCCACCACGTTAAATTCAGCTCTGCTTGTACACAACGTACATGTATATAATTTATTTTATTTTATCAACAGTTAAAGGTATCAATTAATTTCCCAAGACATTTTCATTTATTGAGTCAAGCAAAGCATTACGATGATGACTACAGAGCATTAAGTTTTAAAGTTCTAACGATGATGGCCGTTCTGTTAGGTCACAACTCACAGATATACAGGAAATCCTATAAGTAACCCTAAACCCATGGAAAGTGTAATTCACGAAAATATATAAGGAACAAAATTAACTAGAAATTACTATGTTAGAGTTAAGATAGTTGAGTGGTGTCTTTGAATTTGAAATAAACGAGCTCTCGTTAAATTTACCCAACTTGACTATAAATTCTGATAGCCCATGCGCCCGTGCAATGATTGGAACTTTATTTTTAAATATCTGTGCCCTAGAACTCTGGAAGGAGTTCTTCAAAATACTTTTTTTTAACATCAAAATAAATATCAAATTGTTTTATCTAGGTACTAAAGGTACTTAGGAAAATTCAGTATGATCTCCCATAATATGCAAACAATATATAAATTTTGCAATATGGACCATTTTTTCAATTGAAACTTTTTAATTGAACGTCCAGTCTTAGGGCAATTTAAAAACTACATTTTAAAATCGTTATACTCAACAACATTCCATCAAAGAATTCCCCACACTGACTAATTAAATAATCTACAAAAAGAAAATTGGGATCTTTTAACTATCATGTGTTCAACAAACAATCCAGATTTGTCTAATTCATTTACCGGTAGGTACCATGATTAACTAAGTTAGTTGATCATGGTAGGTACTTCCTGTGACTTTCACTACACGTAATTTACCAATATTTTATTTTTTATTAATCTATTATCAATGTACGATTTAATATATTTAAAGTTAAAAATTAGGAAATATAATTGATTTCGTTTGTTGCGTATTGGATAATTGATTAACTATAAACTATAAACTTAAACAACTACAGATATATAGTGCCTACCTGCATATTAGTTATTAATTTATTTATTTTAATAATATTATAATAAGTGCAATTCAATTATTATTTATTGTACAGAGTATTGGATAGTCCAACCATTATAATTTATATTCACAAAATATCGTTACATGTTTGGATATTCCTAAATTACATAAGAATCATTAAACTTTTGATATTAAAAACCAGTTAACCACTAAGCAAAAAACGGTTTAAGTTTTGGTTACCGTTCAAATAATCGTCGGTTTAAATCTCAGATTTAATAACCGGCTCTTGTTTTATTGCTCCAGCTTTGATGACGGTTAAAATGAACCGTTAAAACCGATTATTATAACCGGTTATAACCGGTTTTTCTAAAACATGTTTCCGTCTTTGTGTCATAGAGAAAATGGTTGAATAAAATAACCTAAATTAATTTGGTTTGTTTCTCAAAAGTTTTTGGTCGAATAGAAAATGTTGTTAAATAAAAGGTTCACTGCATAATGCAAATACATGAAAATTCAGTTAAATGTAATTAAGTAAATTACAGAATATATTTTCATACATAGATAAAATATATAATGATATTTATTTTGAACGTGAGTCGTGTGAAAATAATAAAACGAACGAAACTGTTTATATTGTGGATGGCTGAAAATGAAAAAAAAATTCAAACAGGCAACCACGGTAACTGCCAGGTGACGTGGTTTTGACGTTAAATAATATTCAATTTATTCTTCAGATAAACTCCAATCTCAGAATAGTTTGTGTCCGTATATTTAAATCGATTGTGTCACAATTATATAAGTAAAACAAAATTGTAAATTTTGGAATTTCACTGGCAACTGTATCCTTCGAAATGGACAACAAGCGAAAACGGTCTGTATTTGATGACGGCGATAACCAAACCGAAAAAATGCCGAAAGTAAATAAAATGTATTTAGGTAAGTAGAATAACACTACAACGTTTTCGTTGTTTCGTAACTTAATTTTTTATTGCAAAGATAATCCGAAATCCATTGAATAGTAGGTAACCGTTAACTTTGAAAGTCAACCCGAAATCAATTGCATATTTATATAAACCTACCTCAGATATACGGTCAATTTTATAGCGGTAAACTTATAATTTTTTCAAACACTAGACACAACCAGGATATTTTATTTTTTTTTTTTTTTTGTGGGGAGGGGGGTACTGTGCTTAAAATTTGAGAAGAATTGATAACTTTTTTTCACTACATTTTTCAATATTACAAAAAACTCATTGTAAAATCGATACATTCATCGGACTGGAGAGTTTAGAATCTAAAATTACAAAATTATTAAAATGGTTTTCAAATAATTAGTTTTAATTTAACAATTAAAACAGTCGATGATAAAAATTTAGTTGAAAAAATAAATACCATAGCATAACATGCAGGGACTGGTGGAAAGGGTGTAAGATACGTGAAAACCCGGTAATCGGATCTGGAGGGAACCAACACTGAATGACAAACTTAACATATGTTTTTTTGTTTTTAATTGCATAATCTGGATCATTATTACGATGATCTTGCATAAACGTTTGTTCAAACAGTTTGACGATTGACATAAATTATAAAATATTAAATAGCAAAACTAATATAATATAATATTCAGTTCGTGTTCAGCTACAGTACTAGCACCACGTGTGTTACCGTTTGTCCGTTATCGCATTTTATAGCTGCCAATAGAAAGTTATATAACAAGGCCATCCAACAGTGCAGTAATATGTAATATCTTTTTTATACATATATAAATCCAATTAAGATATCCAAAACTAAGTCGCTGTCGAGTGGTTGACGTCCGGTGTTAAAACGTCCAAACCAAATCAACAAAATGTACATATCTACTCAAAATTAAATCAAAACCAA